GCGCTTTCTGAATGACGTGAGCAGGCGGCGCATTCCTCCCTCCCCCTGCGCCGCGATGAGGCTGTCGGCCCCCCGAATGAGCCGGTGATTGTTTTATCTCTAGAACTTAAAAGCGGCCGGCCGGAGCGGCATTACGCGCCCTTATCCCCCGGGGCGGTGACGGCGGCAGCAGCGGCAGCGGCAGGGAGACGCGCGCCTCTGATTGGGGCCTCCCTCGTCGTGATCGTGAGGGTCGTCTAAGTTGGAACGTCCTCCCTCCCCAGTCCAAAAGTCGCGCTTGCGGGAGGAAGTACGCGGGGGTGAGTCTAGCTTGGGGGGTGGATAACTTCGGAATTGGGTGTACAGATTTCAAGAATTGAATTTTAATTAGTTTGAATTATTGCGATTTTAATTTAATGAATTAGCGTGAATTGACTTGAATTGACATGAATTGAATGTAAATTGTCTTGAACTGAACTGAGGAGGAAGTTGCCCGATAAGAGGAACAAAAAGAAGGTAGCACTAAGGAGGTGGCGTGGCGTAGCGCCGTAAACAAATCAGAACGCCGGCGACCGCGTAACTTTGTTTTGTAGCAAGTGGATGTGTGACAATGAATCAAGTTTTGTAGAATTTGTAAAGAAAAACTGGGTGCATACCAGACCGGCGTAACCATCTTGTGTCAAAAAGTGCTCCTGCAAAGTTTGGCTTCGAAAAAGTAAGTTTACACAATCCTCTAAATCGTCCCGGTGTAGTTGTTGAGGTTAGTGTATGGACATATTGCATTGGTACTATCTTTACTCAGTGATAATGACTCAACTGTCGTAATAAACTTTGGTATAGGTGGTACCAAGGTGCGAGATGCATAGGCCCGGTCTAAACTGGTTGAAATCTAACGACACGCATCCTAACCTCTCTGCCAGACTGTCGCTCATCTTCTGCTTTGTTTAGGGACGGCGCTACGCCACGCCACCTCCTCAGTGCTACCTTCTACTTGTTCCTCTTATCGGGCAACTTCCTCATTGGTCTGAATTAGGTTGAATTGGGCAGAATTAGGGGTGTACCCTTGCAGGCGAGTTATCCACCCCTCGGTCTAGCTGCACTGATAAAACCAAGTGTGCAACCAGCATCCCCTCCTTCCGCTTCACCATTCAGGATGCAAGTGCACAACTTGAAGTTGCACACTTACAACTGTTTAGCGGTTACACACTGGTTTACCAGAGTACAGTTAATGTTATGGTTGAGGTATTGAGAGCAAATTCATACCATGAACTACCATAATGGGTGCGTTTGACAAAGTTCACAAGGCCCGCGCATTTTGGGAGAAAGGCCCGCGCGCTGTCCCGTTTCTAAGCCGCACACGCCACATGGACGCCGCTCTCCTTTAGCTCTCCTGCTGGATGGTGAAGGAAGGTAAAGTGCGCTCTCGTCGTCGCCTGCTGGGAATAAAGACCAGTAAAGACCTCTAAACACGGGCCAGCCGGGGCTCTCTGGGCTGCGCTGGCTGGCTGCTCGGTCTGGGTGGCTGCCGTCAGGTGACTGGCTGCTCCGTCTGTCCGTCCGACCGGCCCTCATTACGATAATAATGTCTTCGTTCTCCATGTTGTTTTTGTTTGGCGGCGGTGCGGCTGGAGCTGGAAGGCCTGCAGGCCGGGGCCAGGGGGGCCTGGAACTAAGAGGGGCGGGGGAGGGAGGGGGCTGGGGCGTCCTGGCCCGAGGGGCACAGAGCGGCAGCGGCAGACGAGCTGACTCCAACGACGTAGCCCCCCCCCCTCTTTCCCCTTCCAGCCGGTACGGGCTGCCGTGCGTGTGTGTGTGTATGTGTACCGAGGATGAGGGAATCTATTGACTGCTGATTAGTCTCGTCGTGTAGTTGTTGTATCTCCGGAGAAGTCGATGACTTCGAACAGTAAAAGACGATGGAAAATGTCATGTTTGTTATGATCTTCTGGGCGATTTCAGCGTCCTCTGTTTTATGCCGTCCCTACCATGGCGCGAGGGTGCACATACATACATACATGCGTGCGCGTATGAGAAATACCACATTGAAAGTGAGCAGGGCCACCCAGACACTCCTGGGCCCCCCTAGGGGCTCAGGAGGGGGTGGGGGCACTCTCTCTGACCCCGTTTACACAAGCCTATTCTCTGTGCCATCATTATTAAGTCATCATCGTAAGCGCATCGCCCCTACCGGCATGAGAGGGAGAGAGGGGGGGAGGGGAGAGAGGGGGGAAGGGGGAGCCCTGGGTCGATAAATCATGGACATGTCTCCATGTGCTCGGAACGTTTTCCCACCATGATGGGCATGAGAGTCTGTTACGTGAATCATTTACATCGTGAATCGCCGAAATCTGAGAGAGAGAAAATGCCGTTTTCCGAATTTCTGCAAGTAATTGCCACTTGTACGGACGTAAAATATCATTAAATTGGATAGGGCATCGTGTCGAGCTCATCCTTATGCAAGCATCCGGATTCCCCGGGTTCCCTGGAAAGGGAAGGCGGGGGAGGAGAGGGCACCGAAAGGGTCCGTATTCTGGCAAGTCGGGTACGGTAGGTATGCAAGGCGCGTCGGCCAGGTAACTAAAACAAAGCCACGTCAGCCTACAAGCGCGCACATACATACACTCGTACACACTCGCGCACACCGGGGGCAAACAAACCCTCCCGGCTCCCTGGCCTCCGCGCGGCTCTCAGACTCGCGCCATGTACGCTTACTCGATGTTTTGAGCGTTAATGGATTTTGATCATTACATCGTTCATGACAATGCCAGTTCGCGTCTTCTGTCCAAAAATAAAAACTATAGGCCCATGAATCATCAAAGCTTCCATTGATAGGCATTTTTGACGATCTGCGAGCGGGTGTTCACTTCAGTGGGTGTTCCTGTCGCCGCTGACCAGCACCACGGCGCTTTACGGCCCGGGCAGAATAGGCAACCTCTGCCCACACGCTTGCTTGCGGCATGAGAGTAGGGCTACTCCATGCTTGCGGTGGGCTGTGTAACTACAAAGGTGCGCGGGGTTAATCAGCCCCTTGATCAATTGCTCAAATAAGTTGTAAAATGATCTGGCCGCAGTATCTATTTTCTCTGTTTCCTTTTCGTCCACGGACAGTCGACCCCCGCGCTCTCGCCCCTCTCGCCCTCCTGGACACGCTCGCCACGTGCAGCCCGGGCCGGCAGGTGCGACCGAGAGGAATAGAAGGGCCCGGGCCCAGGGCGCCCACAGGCCAGGCAGGGCAGGGCCATAGGTAGGGCCGCGACGTGACGTACACGGGGCCTAATTTGGTATAATACAAGGGTCCCCATGGGATGGACCAGTCCCACAGCGTGTCGCGCGGCCCAGCCCCGGCCAGGAGGAGGTTGACTTTTACTCGGCTTTGATTGACTTCACGTGCCGTGTGGGCCACGTTATTGTGTGTGGCGCACAGCTTCTCCCCTCCTCAAAGTAGGCTCGAGCACGCTGGTTTATAGGGCTCGACTCAAGAACTATACCAAGAGTTAGTAGTGGGTGCTGCGATAATCGGGCGCTTTCGTATATATAGCGTGTATTATAGCGAGCCTCTCTCCGGCTGCACCCGTCTGCAATCCTCCAGGTGTACCGTGTGTAACTGTGAATGCGCTGCAGTGTTGCGGGTTTGCCTACTCTTTACACCCGTAAGGGGCCATGGCCCCTGCGGCCATATTGAGTATGCAATCCCGCAACACTGCTGCGTATTCACAGTTACACCCGGTACATCCTCGCGTACCTCCAGGAACCCTGTGAGGTGCAACTTCCTCAGTACATACGCACGTATACTTTACAAGCGGCGACACGCGCATTCATAAGCGAGTACCTCTTTGCGTGTGCGCTTTACCCCTGCGAGTACCCCCGGGCCCAAAGTGCAGCCCGTGGAGGACATATGCGCAAGTAAGTACGCGAGTACCTCGTTGGTGAGCGCGCCCCCGCTTACCCCTGCGAGTACCTCTTGGCGCAGGCCGTGTGCGACAGCAGCACGCGAGTACCCTCGTCGTGTGATCGCTTACCCCTGCGAGTACCTCCTGGCGCAGGCCGTGGGGGACAGCAGCACGCGAGTACCCTCGTCGTGTGATCGCTTACCCCTGGCGAGTACCTCCGGGTGCCGGGCGGCCAGTAGGAGGAACGGCCCGCACGCCCAGCCCGCCCGGCTATATGTCTTATTGCACTCCGTGGGTGGCCATTTTGAGTGCCGCGCGCGCAGCCTCCGCCGTAGCGCAGCGCCGCTGGACCGCCGCTCTGCGGAGGAATCTGCAGCGTCACGACGGCGCTCTTCTCCTTTTCCCCCCTCCTCTCTTGTTCTTCCCTCTCTGTTCTGTCTGATTGCCACCGCAAAACAAATAAACCCGGCAAATTTGTGGTGCAACGTGTAAATAAGCGACGTGTATGCCGCTCTTTTTCAGCGTCGCGACCGCTTGCTTTTGCTACCGCTATTGCTGCCCGGCCGCGGGGATTCCATTGGCATCACCGTGTGTGAGCGAGTGTATGTGTGAGTGGAATGTCTCACCTGGCTCTGCCTGGCCCGGGCGGGCGGGAGGTGCCATGCGAGGCGCCAGGAGGCGCCATGAGACTCGCGGCAGCCAATCAGAAGGCGCCGAGGGGGCCGCCGCGCCGCGCCACGCCACGCCGCGGGGCCGAAGTCCAGGCGTCACCAACATGGCGGCGCTGTATGGTCAGGCGCGAGATTCGGCGGCGAAAAGATGCTGCGCAAAGCAGACCCCCACCCCCACCCACACTCGGAGGAGCTACGTCGCAAAATGGTGAGAATTAAATTTAAAAATGACAAGACGGTTCGATCCTGTTGTACAGCCGCATCGGCGTAGCGGAAGGCCACCGTGATGTCATTCGACTTGGCGTTCGAACGACCAGCCGAGCAGAGCAAGCGCTTGCCAAGTGAAAAAAGCGAGAGGCCTTCACACAAGCAGACTCTCCCACTAGCACATACGAGTCAGGCGCAATGATTGAAAGTGGCGTTCAAAGCCGACCGGTAGACACTCAAAGTTTAGCCAATGTCGGGATTTTCATAGGTTTCACTGTTTATTGTTGTATTTAACCTTCACACAAAACACAGTCACATATGCGATGGTCACGCTACGTGACCGCTAACTCAAAAAAAAATCTTTATCACAAAATCGCCGGAATGGTTACATATATTGATGCAATAATATTTGCCGTAAGCACAGTATGCCGTGAGATAGAAAGTGAATGACTAGTCATTAAAATAGTGAAAAAAAACTTTAAGACTTAATGGATAAGTATGGCCGAGCGAGGATCCCAAATTAAAAGATAACTAGAAAACTAAAGCAATAACGGCTATTGCCTCAACCACAAAGAGAACTGTGGCCGATGCGTGCACACCTTAATACTGTAATACTACACGAAACTGTTATGTATCATGGTAGTGGTTGATTTAACAATCTAATGGCACCAGTTTCCTTTGCTGACTGACAGTTCACAACTTAAGTACTTAGTTTCCATTTCAAGAAAGAAAGGTTGCCTTATTTTATACGAGCTACGAAGACGAGCGGCAAACGTGTAAAAGATAAAATTCTGTCTACTTATCACTTTGTCCTTTCAAAAATGTAGCATGGTATTAAATAGGGTCTGCTAGTTCGGAAACATCATTCAGTGTTTTAAGCGCGCGGCTTAATTATTTAAGTATCTAGTAGAAGTGTGTCGTTGCTTCTTAAACACACTGCGTTAATAACTTATCAGTCAACACGATTCATCAAATGATATTCTAAAAGTCATAGCCAATTATCATTGCGACAACGCTAGTCGCTCATGGTTTTCATCGATATGTCTGTTCTTGGACAAAAGGATTTAACGCATATTTTTTTTTTACATAAAATCAGACTCTTTAGAAGTGAAGGTATTTACCCGCTCCCTTCCACATATCGTATGGGAGAGGTAAAGACGCACTCCAAAGGGAGACTGGCAGAGCGGCTCGGCACGGCCCATATGGGCACGGACTACCGTGCGGCTTAGAGCGCGCGGAAGAGAACCATGGCGCAGGCCAAGAGAGTTGTGACCACGGAGGCGCAAGTGCTGAGAGCAGAGCTGGCCAGGTCAAGCTGCTTGGCAAGCTCCTCGCCGACGTCGAGGAACACGCGGTCCTTGCCGATCGCCAGGATGTTGTTCTTGAGCTGCGCGACGTTCACGATGTCGGTCTCGTCGCTGCTCCAGACGGTAAGCGTCGCCTTACCTGCCGGATCAATTGTAATCAATCAATCAACTTTAAAATCAAGGAAAACCAACGAGAAAACAGAGTACTGAGATCTTTTAAAAATTATAACTCTACCTGAAGCCTGGTGAGTTTCATTGAGCAGCATCTTGAGCTCGTCGAGCGAGTTGGCGACAAACGCGGCGCGCACGGCGTACGTGATGGGCTGGGTGATCTGAGCTGCGTCCAGGGCGTCCGTCATGCTCTTGACGGTCTGCTCGTTGTACTTGGCGAAGGCCGTGGGCACCGTCTCGTTGCCCAGGGCCTTGCCCCAGCGCGTCGTCCAGCCCAGGGAGAGCATGAGGTAAGGGTACTCGGCCTTGGCCTTGGCCAGGAAGCGCGCGGCGTCCACGGGGGTGTTGGTCGAGTTCACGGGCCCGGGGAGGATGTCCGCGTTGAGCCACACGGGGAAGTCGGGTACCTTGAAATGTCAAGAAAGAGGTAGTTAGTTTGGTTGAGTTTTAGATGAACCCCGCCAGCGATACGCCCCACCGACGGCCGCGGTGTGGATACCCCGCGGTCCGCGGCCCACCGGCCCTCGCGCGCCGGGTCGCTCCGCGAGGCGACACTACCCCCCGCGGCGTCGCGGCTCTCTGGCGTCCTCGCACCCCTATGCCACACTCACCCCTGCGAAGTTCTGCTTGAGGCTGTCGATGGCCTTCTCGTACACGCCGATGCTCTTGAAGTCCAGCTTGACGCCCTTCCTCGTGGCGTTGTTGTCCGTGTTGTGCGTGACGACGCTGCGCAGGAACTCCTGCAGCGACAGGTCCGACGTGTTCATGGGCGGGTGGCCCATGACGGGCACCTGGTTGGGGCTCTCGGGCGTGGTGCCGAGGACGACGTCAGCCTCCAGCATCATGATGCCGCCTGGAAGAGAGGGGCTCGTCAGGATAAAGGCGTTCAGAGGCAGGAGGCAGCGAAGCAGGGCACGCCCTGCCGGCTCGTCCTTTGCCGCGCTGAAACCAGGTCGCCGACGTCTCGCCGTCTTGGATTAATTCGTAAATATGTTCTCGTTTCGGATAGGGTGGCGCCGCAGGGTGGAATCGAACTATAGCGTGTCGGCTGTCGGCGCGGCTCAGACACAACACATCGTAGCCCACAAACCTACTTTCCCTACCTTATCTCCCCCCCCCCCCCCCACTCCCCCCGGTTTCGTCCCCCCTTCTCCAACAACTGCCCTACTGGCTACTGGTTCTTCCTTCGTCCTGTCCTCACCTATATACTCGCCCTGTTCCTCTACGCGTTTCAATTATTTGAGGCTCCCCCCCCCCGCTCTCTTTCTCTCTCTCTCTCACACACACACTCGCGGGGTGCGCCGCCTACCCCCTACCACCACCTCTCTACCCCGTTCCTACCTACCCACTCGCTCCGCTGTCAGGGGTAGGGTGGGGTGGAAGGTAGAAGGCCAAGTCATTCTTATCGCCGTAGCAGCCAAAGTCGTATCGACACATTGTGCTCCCTATAACGGGAAGTCGTCGGCACGACGACACGAAGGGGTAGGGAAGACAGCTGCTTTTGGTTGGAATACTGAGCAGGCAGCGCAAGACGACATCCTCGTCAGATGCTACCTTGTAGCGGCGACGTGCAGCACAGCGCAGCAGACGCGAATAGATTCAGGTTCAGGTGTCGCAGTGGCCGCGGAGGCGACCCCGCCTCGCCCTGCTCGGTGGTCGCCGCCTCATGTAACAGGTCTAGCGGCGCCAGGGTCAGGCCTCAATCCCCCGCCCTGTCCACCCCCCTTCCACGGCCAGCTGCACGAGGTGCATAATACGCTAGACGACGCTAGGCGAACCCCGGGGACAGTCAATATGTGAACTTGGGTGGGTGGCGATGACGTCGAGCCGACGAGCAGCGACGAGCAGCTGATGCGGCGCACAATAGTCGACGGACGGCGGTGGGCAGCATCACCGAATCAGCGTCGCGACGGGATCGTTGGACTCGCGAGTGGAGGTCGCGGCCGACCACGGGAGGCTCCGGAGGCGGGCGATATGGAGAACGCAGAGAAGCGTGGTGGTCGCCTTGAATGATGACCGCCGCGCTGGCTCTCATTGGCGTGTCAGGACTACAACACGGAGGGGCTTCGGCCGGCTTCAGCCCGACCTTGCAGCCTCTCATCGCGCTCGACTGGCGGATGGGTTGCCTACCCCGTGGGCGCCGCCCGCCTCGCCGCGCCCGTCCTGCGGTGATAGGCCGGCCCGCCGTGCGTGACGGCGCGGTGGGCTGCCTACCCTCGCCGCCGTAGGCGCTCCTGGAGGTGCAGGCGGGCCCTCCGTCTGCTGCAGCCCCACCGGATACACGCCCCGGTTCTGCGCGCAGAGGACTCGCGGCCGTGGCCTGCGGAGGGCGGGCAGGAGGGGGAGGAGGAGGAGGGTGCCAGCCGAGGTAAAGGGCACGAGGTGGCGGGGGCGCCAGACAGGAAACGGGCCTTACCCCGGGGCCGGGTGTCCCCACCCCGCGGCAAGGCCTACACGGCGGCCTACGAGCCCTGCTAGGGGCCGCAGGGCGGGCCGCCCGAAACGTATACATGCGACTCTAGATTAACTGCTGCAGAGCAGACCCTCCCTGGACTTTCAGACATTTATTTATTGCTCGCCGCGCAAGTTCATTCCACGTTTCGTAAGTGACGGCCTCCGCGGCCAATAAGGCGCTCCGCATAAAGTTCTCATGCATCCGTAATGGAGTGGCCACAAGGGGGGTCTAGGCCTAGGAGTGCGAGTGAGTGCGAGAGAGAAGGAATGTATGTGTTGTCTCTCTCCCACTCATTGTCTCTCTCGCGCGCGCAATGAGGTGGGCATACCCACATAAAGCACCTCCCGGGCGCCATAGAGCGGTGACGTCACTCAAGGACGCGCCGCCGGCTATCAGTGTTGGGCGCGACACCCGCGCCACGCCCCGCCCCGCCACGCCACGCCCCGGTGGACACTGCCGCAGTGTCGTCGCCTGGCTTGCTGAAAGGGTTTACGAGCATCGGAAGGCTAGCGCGGCGCGATTCACGAGCGTCCAGCGAGCGCCCGCCGTATCGCGCACGGAGGCCTTGTTCGCGCTTCGGGCCGCGGCTGCGCTCCCGCCGCCACGCCACGCCATGCCCGGAGCCGTATCGCCACAGGTAGAGGGGAGGTCACTTCAGCGCAGCCTCGGCCCAATACCTTGTGCTTGTTTCTGGCGACGAGACGGGTGAAATGGGGGGCGCGGTCTAACTTAACGGGTGTTAGAGAGCTCGTAATTTTTTCGTCAGTTATTGGACTCTTTTTGCTCTTACAAATGTTACCATGCACCTCTTTTTACTAGGGGCCTGGGCGTAGTCAATATGCACTGGGTAGCTGAGCGAAGAGGGGTGAAGTTTGAGAACAAAATCTTTTTCTGTTTTTCTTTACTTTTTCTGATTTTTACTGATTTTCTTGTTTTTCTTTCTAATTTTTTCCCATTTTTCTGATTTTTCCCAATTTTGGGATGATTTTTTTCCCGGAGAGGGAGGGGGGGGGGGGCTACTAGCCTGACCTCTTTTTATCGGGGTATAGGGTCCGTTGCGCGGCCGCAGATTTCTCAGGGAGTATGGCGACCACAGCAGAGGCAGCAGCATCGACCGGACGGAATCGGTCGGACAGGGAGAGGTCACCCCCTCGGTGGACCCCCACCCCCTCCTCCTCGGCACATATGGGCTGTAGTACTCACTGTCGTTGAGGCTCTTGGCGAGGAGGTCCCTGGAGTTGACGGCGTGCGCCCAGGTGAGCTTGGTCAGGTCCCCCTTGATGCCGGGGAAGAAGCTGGCCACGTCCTGCGGGTCCGCCTCCTGGGCGCGGGCTGCGGGTGCGGCGGCCATGGTCTGCATGGCCGGGGCTGGGGAGGCGTCGGTGCCGGGCAGGGCGGCGTCTGCAAAGTGCAAAGAGGGGTCACGTTATGGTCAGGTGTACGCAACGGTGGAAAACGAAAACATTATGAAGAGACAAATTGAGAACGACAGTCGAA